TACGTTGGCGAGTCAGGGCTATCAAAAAAGACAAAATACTCGAGAGAGCACGCTGATCGAGAGAGCGCGCCGATCTCTATAACGATAGCGGTGGGTGGGAAGCGTTGCAGCGAGGGTCGATGGTTGCAGGTTCGTAATGGATTAGCGCCCTAATCGCGCAATTTGGGCAAGGAAGCTGGCGTGATCTATGGAGGTACGTACCCCAAAATTTCCCTCGTGGTATCCTTCCTGGTTGAGTAACCCCGCGGTATGCCTTTCAGTGAAACTTTCGAATTGGGTTGACACTTACAAGGGAGGTCGTTCAGGGTGTGCCAAGCTTTTTCAAAACGGTTTCTTGCATGATATAGGGGCACATGCGGGAACCACAGAACCATGGTTCATTTTTCCTGAACGGCCCTCTGAATACCAGAAAAGGGGTCCCTAGTTCGATTCCTCGTGGTGACAAATTTTTGCATTTCGAGTTGACGTTTCAAAATTCGCGCAAAATGGAGTTAGCATGAATAATTAGTACCAATTCATGATTAGGACGTCAGTAACCCTTACAAATAGACTTTGATTGAAAAACTGGTGAAAAAGGTGTGACTAGGGACCCCCTTTTCTGGTATTCAGAGGGCCGTTCAGGAAAAATTAACCATGGTTCTGTGGTTCCCGCATGTGCCCCTATCATGCAAAAGACCGTTTTGAAAAAGCTTGGCACACCCTGAAAGACCTTCCTGTTAGGTCGACGTTTTCACCTCTCTCTCAACCGTTCGAGCAAAGAATACCGCTGATATACCAAAGCGCTATACGGCGTATTGAATCTGGCAAGCGTTCCCCCTGAAACGGTGAGACCATAGCCTACGAAGGCTACGATTTTGTCGAAACGTCAGGCCACTTAGGTAATGGTAATGTTGCTCCTCATACCTCATACGGCGAAAAAGAAATAACCATAACATTCGATTGGGTGACATGTAAACTTCTATCAACTTGTCGAAAGCTGCATCGATGAAGAAGGCGGCTACTAATAACGGCTATCTAACAATCCAAAAAGTCTCACAGAAGAAATTAGTGACAAAAAAGTAATCAGATAGTGAACAGCACTCATTGAAAGGGGCAATGAACGGAAGAAGCGTTATCGGCAACAATTGTGCAAGCTGTCAGCTCCAATCTGTGCTGTGACTGTAACCTTTCCGTAAACGAGGGATTAGCGGTTCAGCCCTTATCGTGCGTCAGAAAGTTCCATGCGTCTGCTGTGTTTGCTTGGATTTTTTGCTGCTTGTTTCATCCAAGAAGGCAGTAAGTTGTTGATTTCGTTAATATCAAATACCAACCTTTGTATTGCTTCACATTTTTGCCTATTCATTCGCACATCAGTTCAAATTAGGGGTAGTTACGGTATGGTGTACGCCGTGTATTTTGCCTTTTTTGCATTTGTAAAAGTGCCTTTGGAAGCAGATCTGCATCACGTAATGGTCCACGAAGCTATTGTGTAGCCAAACCAGTGCTTTTAAGATACCAGGCAAATCTGGGGCCGTCTAGCGGATCCCGGATGGGCGCACAGCTTGGGCAGATTGGCAGGTCTCGGCGGGAGGACCGAAATGGACTCTGAATGTTATGCATGTAAAGAGAATGCCTCGTGCAGGGTCAGCGCTTTCGCGCTTCAAAATTTCGCTAGTAGAAAAAAATACAATGAAAAATCCACCTATCGAGAAGTTATAGAAATG